ATTATGATGAATAATTATGGAACTGCTTTACTTGTATATTGGAGTCAAAATATAAGTCTATAAATAGGGATTGCCGTGAGCTAAGGTTCTGACTGTCAGAAAGGGAAGTCATAGATAAGAAAGGAGGAAGATTAAATGAACTGGACTGGAGTCAGAAATATTGATATGAAATCATGTTTAGCTTAATATCAATAGGATACAGATATAAACACACATATACTTTCTAGATACAGAAATAAGTATAGTTATGTGCATATATTAATATGTATGTATTCTATATATACTAGCTCTATCTCTAAGAGGACCTAGAAGTTAAACTCCAAAAGCTGCAGACACACCCTGCAGTGTGTTGTTGATTGAGCCAATAAACAAATCAAGGGAAGAGACAAATTTTGCTACAGAAGAACTAGATGTAGCTTAGTTCCACAACACCTGGAGTGTGAGCTGGACTTAGTGATTTCTTTCTAGAGTATAGAAACGTTTTAAAAAGAAATCTACAATGGAGAAACTTAGTAAATTTTGTCTAGCACATATGATCATGTTAACATTAGTGATTAAGCCATGTTGATGGAATATACTCTTGATATGATGTTATGAGAATCGAATTTTACCTCAGAGGTATTTCTCCCAAAACCCATTACCCCAGTCAAATTATTAAAAAAAAAATACTTCGGAAAATTTCAAATGGGTAAGCATTCTCTGAAATTCCTGGCTGGTACTCCCTAAAATTGTCAAGACCATCAAAAGTGGAGAAAGACTGAGAACTTGTCACAGAGTATTAGAGATTAAAGAGGCATGACAAGTAAATGCAAGTAGATTAAAAGCATATTAGTGGAAAACTAATGAAATCTGAATAAAGCCTGAAAGTTAAAATATAACATTATGGTAATCTTGGTTTCTTAGTTTTGACAAATTCCATAATATGAGATTATAACACAGGAAAAAACAGAGGAGGGTTTATATTTGATTCTCATGACTGCTGTGACAAATTGTCACAAATTTAGAAACTTAAAATGACACATATTTATTTCACACCTCTGAACTTCAGAAGTTCAGAAACCATCTCACTGGGCCAAAATTAATTGTTGGCAGAGATATGCTCCCACAGGAGGCTGTAAGGTACAATCCATTTATTGCCTCTTCCATAAGACAGAAGTAAATATCTGTGTCGTACTATATTGCACCACAAACTCCAGCATCTTAGCACATCCAGGTGCAATCTTAAAAACACTGAGGTGTTCAAGCATCTAATTGTACACAGACAAAAAAGAAGATATAGGCGCACACTCCTATGAGTAGTTTTTATATAGTATAGCACTCCCAGAGATCAAAAGGAAAAACATAAAAAATTGTGCATTATATTAACATTTTGAATTTATGTTACCTTTTTCACTGATAGGAATTGTCATGTTTATATTTTATCAGGGTGTTTAAAAACATTTCAGTTAATTGTGTGATTTTTATGTATGAAGTAGTTTTACAAATATAATCATACATTATACTTTTATATAATCTGATTTAATTTCTATTTATGATTTACTAAATAGCATTTATTTGATGTGTGACTTGCCACTTAATGACATATTATTTCAAACTAAAAATTATGAGATGCTTCATTTAGTGACAAGATTCCCAGGAAATGATTGGATCTAAAAGTGGGGCATGCAAGCACTGAGAATGTAGATTTAAAAATTTCAGCAAAGGAGAAAGTAAGCTGTGCTTGTTGAAATGTGCTACATGCCTCTGAAGAAGGCTTACATTATGACTCAAATATTCAATGCATTGATACAATTAGACTCAAAGCTTGACTATTTTAGTCATTCACTTAACAAATAATTATTGAGAATACAATGAAATGGTATCTATTTAGATACTGAGAAGGATCATGCAAACAAAACAAAAGTCACTTCTTTTAAGAAGTTTAAGTTCTAATTGGGGATGATAAATAAAAAGTGATCAAATAAACATACAGTAGGGAGTGTTGATAAGGACTATGAAGAATAATACAAGCTGGCAGGACAGTACACATTGTGAAGGGAGAGTGACTTATATAAAGATGATCAGGGAAGGCTACCATGATTTGTTAACATTTGTTTGAGCAAAGATCTGCGAGGAGGAAGAAAAATTTCCATACAGAGGGAACAGCAAGTGCAAATGTCATGAGGCAGGAGCATGCTTGGAGATGTGAGGAAATATCAAGGAAATAAAAGTGAATGAATAGAGAAAAAAACTGGAGAAATGACAAGAGATAATGTATCTCAACCAAATTAAAAATTAATGAGCAGCATTATTTTAAAGCCCTTTCAGAGAGAAAATATGTAGAAAATTATTACCTCAGGCCATAAATAGTGTGAATGTTGGTAGTCACGTATGGATAAATTTATAATGTCTTTATTTTTCCTTCATTTTTATTATGCTCTGGCTATTTTATTCTTCTGAAACTGTAATGTATTATCTATGATTTCTTTGAGCAGTGTTTTGTAGTTCTCCCTGTAGAGATCTTTCACCTCTTTGGTTAGATATATCACTAGGTATCTTTTGCTTTTGCTTTGTAAATGGGATGTGTTCTTTATTTGACTCTGAGCTTGAAAATTATTCGTGTATAGAAATTATTACTGATTTGTGTAGATTGATTTTGTATACAGAAATTTTACTGAAATCATTAATCAGTTGTAGGATTCTTTGGTGGAATCTTTAGGGCTCTATAGTATAGAGTCATATAAACTTTGAAAAAAGATAGTTAGCTGACTTCTTGTCCTATATAAATGTCTTTCATTTCTTTCTCTTGCCTGATTGTTCTGGCTAGAACTTCCAATATTATGTTTAATAAGGGTGGTGACAGTCGGTATCATTTTCTTGTTCTAGTTATCAAGGGAAATGCTTCCCGGTTTTGCTTGTTCAGTATAATGTTGCCCCTGGGTATGTCATAAATAACTTTTATTATTTTGAGGTATGTTCATTCAATGCCTACTTTGTTGAGGATTTTTATCATGAATCAATGTTGGATTTTATAAAAAGCTTTTTGCTGCTATGTATTGAATTAATCATATGGTTTTTTGCTTTTAATTCTGTTTTTGTGGTAAATCACATTTATTGACTTGCATATATTGAGCCAATCTTGCATTCCAGGAGTAAAGCCTACTTGACTATGGTGAATTGATTTCTTGATATGCTGTTGGATTCAGTTTGATATTATTTTGTTGAGGATTTTTGTGTCTATATTCCTCAGGGAAAAATCCATGCTCACGGATTAGAAAAATCAAAATTGTCAAAATGGTCATATTGCTCAAAGCAATCTACAGATTCAATGCTATTCCTATCAAACTACCAACATCATCTTTCACAGAACTAGAAAAAAGACTATTCTTAAATTAATTGTAACCAAAAAAGAGCTCAAATAGCCAAAGCAATCATAAACAAAAACAAAGCAATCATAAACAAAAACAACAAAGCCAGAGGAATTTTATATCCCAAGTTTATACTATAAGGCTACAATAAACAAAACAGCATGATATAGAAACTGACACATAGAGCAATGGAACACAATAGAAAATTCAGAAATAAAGCCACTTACCTACAGTCATCTTATCTTCAACAAAATCAACAAAAATAAGCAAAGAAGAAAGGACTCCATATTCAATAAATGGAGCTGGGATGCCTTGCTAGCCATATGCAGAAGAATGAAACTGGACTCCTAATTTTACTATATTCAAAATTTACCTCAAAATGAATTAAAGACTTAAATGTAAGGCATTGAACTACAAGATTTTTGGAAGAAACCGTAGGAAACATTATTCTGGGCATTGGCCTTGGAAAAGGACTTATGAATAAGTCCTCAAAAACAATTGCAACACAACCAAAATTTGGCCAGTTGGTCCTAATTAAACTTAAGAGACTTTATACAGCAAAAGAGACTATCAAACTAAAGAACTTCTGCATAGCAAAATAAACTATCAATAGAGTAAACAGGCAATCTACAGAATGGAGGGAAATATTTGCAAATTATGCATCTGGCAAAGGTTGAGTATTCAGGATGTATAAGAAACTTAAACAAGCAAACAAGTAAAAAATAAATAATCCCATTTAAAAATGAGAAAAAGACACTTTTCAAAAGAAGACATACAAGCTACCAACAAACATATGAAAAAATGCTTAACATCACTAATCATCAGAGAAACGCAAATCAAAACCACAATGAGATACCTTCTCACGTCAGGCAGAATGGCTACTATTAAGAAATCAAAAAAGAACAGATGTTGGTAAGGTTTTAGAGCAAAGGGGACACTTATACGTTGTTGGTGAGAATGTAAATTCTCCTCATTTTATTTTCAGATTACCTATTGCTATTAGATAGAAATACTAATGATTCTTGTATGTTGCTATTGTATCTTGACATTTTGCTAAATTGATTTATTAGTTCTGATAATTTTTAGGGGATTACTTATTTATTTATTTGTGGAGATGGAGTCTCAACTTGTTGCCCAGGCTGGAGTGCAATGGCATGATCTCAGTTCACTGCAAACTCTGCCTCCCAGGTTCAAGCAATTCTCCTGCCTCAGCTTCCCGAGTTACTGGGATTACAGGTGTCAGCCACCATGTCCAGCTAATTTTTTTGTATTTTTTATAGAGAGAAATTTTCGTCATGTTGGCTAGACATTACTATTAGGACGGAATGATGATGGTTTGAACTCCTGACCTCAAGTGATCCACCTGCCTCAGCCTCCCAAAAGTGCTGGGATTACAGGCATGAGCCACTGCGCCCAGCCATGATTTTATATTTTAAATAGCAAACAGAGATATATTATTTTATTTCTTCCTTTCAGTTCAAGATGTCTTTGGTAGTCATAGGCTAAGGTTAAAAAAAGAATCATCTCTGCCCTTTAATTCTAATCTATTATTATTCAAATACAGTTATTTACTATTTACAAATTGTCATGCAAACAAACTGTACCAAAAACCTGAAATTATAAATGCTTGAAACATTAGTTTATTAAGAAACAGTAGTGACTTATAGTTGGCTAAAATATGACAATAGACAACACATATTTCATTAAACTTCATGAGAAATTATCATTGTATTTTTCTAACTTATGGATACTTAGAACTGTTTCTCAACTAAAAACAGAAATAATATTAGATGAAATTTTACATTCTATACACCATATAGCATTTTGACATTTCGGATCATGCATAACGTAGATCTAAGAGTGATAAAATAACTTTGTGATGATTTTACATCATTAAAAGACTGAATCCAGAGAACATTTTGCCTTCTCAACAACCTTCTTGAATGCATTCTTCACCTCTTTGTTCCTCAGGGTATAGACTATAGGATTCAGCATGGGGATGATCATAGTGTAGAACACAGATGCAATTTTGTCCCTGTCAATGGAATGACTGGAACTTGGCTGTAAGTACATGATGATGACAGTTATATAAAATAAGAAAATGGCAATGAGGTGAGACCCACAGGTGGAAAAAGTCCTCTGATATACTTTACCTGTGTGCATTTTAAGAATGGTGATCAATATGAACAGATAGGAAATCAAGATAACAAAAAGTGCAAAAACGACATTAAAACCTGATATAAGAACAAGAATCAGCTCACTAATGTGTTTATCAGAGCAGGTCAGAGTAATGACTGCTGGTATGTCACAGAAAAAATGATGAATCACGTTGGACATGCAGAAAGAGAGGTGAAATGTGTCTCCAGTTTGGATAGAAGCATTCAGAAAACCGATGACATAACAGCCTATAGCAAGACAGGCACACACACGTGTTGTCATGGTGGTGGTATAATGTAGGGGGTTACACACTGCTGCATAGCGGTCATAGGCCATTGAGGACAAGAGGTAATTTTCCACAGTGGCAAAGACTGCAAAAAAGAACATCTGAGCAGCACAGGCATTGTAGGAAATGGCTTTGTCTTCTATAAGCAACCCAGTTAAAACCTTTGGAGTGACAGCTGACGAGTAACCAATGTCCACCAGAGACAGGTTACTGAGAAAAAAGTACATGGGAGTGTGAAGATGAGAGTCCAGCAGGATTAATATGAACATCCCCAGGTTCCCAGTCAGAGTGATGAGGTAGATGAAGGTGAACATGATAAAGAGGGGAACCTGTAGTTCTGGGGCATTGGTTAGACCAAGCAGGATGAATTCACTCGCCTCTGTATTATTCTCCATGGATGTTATTTTAGAACCACAAGATACTCTGCAGCAAAGAGAGGTTAAAAAAAAAAAGAAAAAGAAAAAGAAAGAAAAATCCTGTGATGAACAAAACAGAGTTGCACAAAACTGAAATGTATGTTATTTTATTATAGAAATAATTTGTTTTCTATATTTCCTAGATCAAAAATATGGACATGAAAACACAATTTAGTGGATAACTTATCTACACAGTAATAGAATTTTGAAGAAAGAGAGTCTTCATGGATTATCTTCCCAGCTTCTTAGGAAGGGGATAATGAGTTGTCCAATGTCATATGACTAAAATGACTCTATCTCCTAAATAGTATGTTTTTGAATCTAACATCTTAAACTCACTTATAGTTGCCCCATGCCAGATGCCTTATATATATGTATATCCTCATAGAATGCTCTCATTAATCCTATTTGATTAGTTATACCAATTTATATATGAAGTATCTTGGTTAAAAAAAAGAGTTTGAATAACTTATTCAAGATTACATAAGCACTAGTAGATAGAACCAAGCTTTAGACAAAATCAGGGTAGTTTCTGACCTAAATGCTTTTAATGAATTTGAATTATTTTAAATGTTATTGAATTTATATTTAATCATTCTTTCTATTATACCAACCTTAACATATGAAGTTGCATCGTAGAGCAATGCACAAATAAATGCAAAGTAGGAGAAGTGGAATAAATGCAGCATTAATGTCATGTACTACTGACAAAGCCAATTCTGCAGAGAAGATATAGCATTGGGTATACAATCTAGGGCTTTAGGAAGAGGTAGATTTGTATTAGCTCGTAAGACCTAACATTTACTACTTCGGAGACATTGGTGTTAATCTAACTTCCTAGAGTTTCATTTTATCCATTAGTAAAATAAAGATGGTATTAGGACTTATGTCAAGAGATTATTTTGAGAGTTAAATGAGATAATGCTCAGCAGTTGGCATAACGTGGGCATTCAGCACAGTCCTGATGAGTGCTAGCTATGATATTACTATTGGGACGGAATGAGGATGTCTGTGCTGGTGTAGGAAAGGTAGAGATGACACACAGTTCTCAAGGTGTGGGTGGGCTTTGAAGTGTGGCAACTTTACTCTGATTTGTATTTTCTTACACACTATGCCCAGTCTTTCATTTCCTTCAGCATTTCTCACTCTATCCATTCTTTCCCAGATGAACGGCCATGTCAGCCATCCTGCGTGAGAACCCAGGGATCTTCAAGTCCTGTTTTCTTTAATTTCTCTCTTTTTAAAAAATTATACTTTAAGTTCTGGGGCATGTGCAGAATGTGCATGTTTGTTACATAGGTATACACGTGCCATGGTGGTTCATATTTTACCTTGTGTTGAAATAATCCCCTTTTACCTTAGACATTTCCTTCCTATCATTACTCTCAACACTCAGCTAGATATCAGATATTGAGGGTTGGAGGTTCATAGTCTGGGGGGCTGTCTCTAGGCTGCAGATCTGTTTATGCACACATCTTTTTATTTGAATTTGAATCTGTTGGAAGGACATTCATTTCCTGATAACCACTATTGTCTATCATCTTTCTCCTGCCCCCAGTACACATCAATTGATACTTCTAGACTTCAAATTATTTGTTTGCCAAAAAACTACCCACATAATTATATGAGCTATAATTTTTGTTTTTTGTTTTTTTAAAATACTATGTTCTGTGATGACTAACAGCTTCTCATTGTACCTACCTGGATAATCTAGGATAATCCTACCATCTCAAAACCTTAATTTAATCACTGTGCAGTTAAAAAAAATCATGTAAGGCCACATGTTCATGGGTTTCAGGAGTTAAGATATGACCACTTTGGGTGAACATTATTAAGACTGCCATACTGAGTGTGAATATTATATATTCTAGGTAAATTATCGCTAGAATCAGAGATGGTTGAGATACACTCACGGATCACATAGCCAACTTCCTAATTGTATATATGAATCAACAGAGGATCAGAGAAAGTATTAAATTCTCAAATTCACATACCTGGAATATATTCATTTTCTAAATCAGATCTTCTAAAGTTACTAGCAGTTTAACCTTTGTACTTATGAACCAGTTTGTTTCATGAATGATAGATAGATGATAGATTAACAGACATAGATATCACAGGATGGAGGAAGAGAGTATGTATACACACATATATAACCCCATTTGTGTTAAATATTGGGAGATTACAGGAGTTTTTCATCTTCCTCATATTCTACATGTTTCTGTGCTTTTAATCACTGCAATGTCAGATTTTCTAGATTAGCAAGTATTGAAAAAGTGAGATTGTAAGGAAATGATAGTAAAAATGGAATAGGGATCTTGGTAATGTCATAATTTTTCTGAGCTCTATGGAAGTGTTATTGCATCCTGTTTGGGGGAGCTATTCCTTCAATGACGAACCAACGCATAATAAACCAGATAAATTTACCACCCATTCAAAAGAAAAGATTGTCATATTCCCTAAAGGACCCTTCTTTTGACTTCAGGGCAGTGGGGACCTGCCTAAGGTTTTGTTACCATCTTAGGGAAACTATCCTAAGGTTTTGTTATCATCTTAGGGAAAGCAGCATGGCATTTCATAAATATCACTGTATTGTTTGCTGGTTAAATTTTTTCTTTCTTCCTCCTTTCTTTTTTTCTTTTCCTTTTTTTTCTTTTCAATGAATGCTAGATCCATTTCTGTGTTTTAGAAAAGATGTTCAAACAAGTAGATCTGAGCTCAAAAACTTATACAAGATGTAGCTGCCACACTGCTTTTGCATCATTACATATTTCACTAAAAGTATATATTGAATATAAAAGCTTACCTTGCTCTTTGAAAAGAAGAAAAGGGCAGTTCTCAGTTGTGAGTCTGAAATCAGAAACTTATCCTTAGAAGAATGCCTAAATAACATTGAGAAATTCTCTGTCATGTACTTTTCAAAAATGTTCAAGTTTTTTGAGGAATAAAGAAGTGGAGAAAGAATCATTAATGTGGAGTGCTAGCTCAAACATTTAACATTTTTTAATGTTGTATCATCTTGCTGTGGTATAAAAGTCTGGGTTCAGTTCTTACATGTACCGTGTATTTTTCTGTGAACTTGAAAAACTTATTTGCCTTCTGCCAAGCTCAGTTTCCTTATTTGTAGAATATAAATGAGAAAATGGTTTCTCCCACGACTTTACACAATTGTGACTATACAGAGAAATGGACAGTGGATCTACACAGACCTTAGTAAGTTGTTATCCCTTCAGCATGAACCAATACAGTTTTTATCTTGGGAAGTTTTTTTTTTGTTTTTCGTTGCAGAATCACTGCAAATTCTCAGTTTTGGTAAAGGCCAGAGTGTGCACTAAATGTATTAGCATTCATTCAGGTAAATAAGGATTAAAGTGTCTCTTGTTAGAGTCTTCTCCATTTTAAATAATGTAATGTGGAGCCATACTATGATTTCAGAGCCTAATGAATGGGAGCCAGGAGAAAAGTGTATAAGCATGGAACTATCTAGGGAACAGGGTCCCTGCGAGGACAATAGCTTTCCTTTATCTCACTTATCTAGGGATGAAGCAATTAAACAGCATCCGGTGATACAGTTTGTTATGTTGGGTCACATACATGTTTATTTGCCATAATTGCTGTCATGCCTTTTTCCTCCGCCAATTTTATTAAGTTGTTATTACATACATGAACAGTGTGTTAATCTATATATATTTACTGTATTATTAATATGTGTAATATATTCCAAATATTTATCTTGTTGTTTTAATCTTTTTACTTTCATTTTTCTACTTTGAATTTTATTACTTGTTAAATCTAACTGATAGGCAACTGAATTTGTAGATTGATAAACATAATCCCAGTTTTTCTTTTTTATGTTTACAATCACCTGACAAATATAACATAGGTGTCAGAGAAATGAAGATTAGGATATCCCTTAATATTTTTATTCAATTCAAAAATTTGATTCAGATATATAGGCTGATGGGCTTATTTTCTATCTCAAATTACTATTTCTTAGCAAATATTGTTAGTGTCCTATCCATTCCCTCTTCACCTGGGTTGTCCATTGGCAATCCAATGCTTATTGTGAAATAAAAAAGAGGAATTTGCATTTTGCAGACTTAGGGCTTAGAATTTGCTATAAAAGTATATTCAGTCCATGTGTGAAACATTGAATTTCTCTGGTGTCAGCAGTCAGTACATGAGAGACAGAAGTAGAGTGATAAGTACCCAATTCCTCTTTTTCAGGTGGTATAACTTTGAGACAGACTTGATAGTTTTCTAGTGGCTCCTAGTAGATTAAGGACTAGCTTTTTTTTTCAGGCATAACCTACTCACTAAAGAAATCCTTTATTGGCCTCTTTTCCTTCTCTGACTCACTTTCCAATCATTTCATCAGAGCTTTCCGCTGTTAACTTGCAAATAAACTACTTGAATTAAAATCAATTTCTTTAGGCTTGCTTCTGGGGAACCTAATCTAATAAGCATCCCAAGATGATAGGTTTTTCCTTTGCACATGCAAATCCTCTGCCATTATCCTTACCGTGTAAATGAAGCTGGACCAAAGGACAGAAGGCACTTCTGCTGCCGAGAAACAGGACCAAAAGAGGAACAAAAGGGCAAACTGTGCTGTATGCTTTCTTCCAAATCCCAATCAGATAAATTGTATCCTCTCCCTCTGCTGAAACACTTTCAGTGTACATCCAAATATTAAACTAGTGTTCAATTTTTGTATATTTGATGACATTTTGATCTTGCAACAAATTTGATGGAAAGTTTATCTGGATATAGAAATCTGTATTGATAATTTATTTTCTCTCCATCTTTCTAAGATAAACATTCACCATCTGCTGTCTTACTTTTTTTTTCTGACCAAAGGCCAACTGTCAGGCTGATCATCATTACTTCATATAGTTCTGTCCCTGGCATCTAAAAAGTTTGTTCTTGGCCTTGTTTTTTTACTTCCACAACAATGTAATTCAATATTAGAATTTTTAAAAGGTATTCTAACACAAATTGGT